ATTCACGAGGTTTTTAACTTTAGTGCACCGCAATGTCATCGAGCCGACGCCAAGCGAACAATGTTGACAAGCTTTTTAATTACCATCCAACTTTCCTTCTGCTGAGATTTTCTTTCTGCCACCCTCGACCTCCAGCCTCACCATGCACCGCACACTCCATCGACTGCCTAACATTCCATTCTCTTCCGACCTGCCAGCAACTCCTGTTCTTTAATTAACTCAGCGTAAAGGGGACACTGGGCTCAAATGTGTGAGTCCGGAGCGTGGATTTATCGAAATGAAATTTCGGGATGCTCAAGGGATTTCGGCGCTTAGTTTTAATGGGATCTTAATTATGCCGTGAGAAACTTAGTTATCTTTTATTTCTATAATGTGGACTTTCTAACGTGACTCTGACTACATTAGGTTGTGAATTTGACTTGCTGTATATAATATTCTTTATTGTTGATTTAAGAGAACAATTAATTAAGACTGATCGAATGTATGTACGGTACTAGTATACAAAGTAAGATTTTGAACGCAAAAATTAGAGCTTCGATTAACGTGGCGCATAATGTATTGATTTCTTCTCAATCTACAAATCATACATTAACGAAATACTTTACTTTACCATATTATGTTGCTTCCGACTATCTATGAATAATAAAACGGCGTTAAAATCAAAAATATAAAAATAAAAAAAATTTTTTTGCAAACTCATTTAATTAACTACTTTTAATTAATGAAAATTAAAAAAGAAATTTAATGTGAGGGAGAGTGAGAGAAGACATTAAAAAATTGTGTAAGAAATTAATCAAATTCGAAATAACGGGCGGAGAAAACGTAGTAATCGAAAAGAATAACATTTGAAAATCTATAAGCCTAATTCTACCTCCCGAACGCGCATACAGTAACTAACGAAATTAATCTGATGGACAAAAATAATTAGAAATATCCTGCACTGCCGAGCCTCATCAATTTATTATCCCATTTTTACCATATATGACAGAGGCAGGCAAACAAGAGCCTTTCATTTCTTATCGAGGCACACGTAACGTAACGAGGGTTACACACGAAAAGTCTTTAAACATATTAAGCATAATACTCTCGAGGGACTAGCTCTCAACAAAATAAGACCACATCGTAGCCCGAAGAGTGATGATCATATATATATATAAACCTCTGACTTTTATATACAACAAAAAAATAAATATAATAAAATAAAATAAACCTAAAATGAACCTTAAAAAGACAAAAATAAAAAAGGACGTTCTGTTTCTTTTTAGTTGAAATGAAAAGAAAGGAAGCCACGCCTACATTCTCTTTGTTTTTTCTGTTCTGTATTGCAGAGTGCATGATGGACGACGGGAGCGCCAGTGCCATCTTCTGGAAGTAGGAGGCACCGGTGGCGGCTGCTGCGAAGGTAACTTCGACTTCCAGGAGATAGCTAGAGCTTCCTATGTACTATCCATAAAGGGAGAGAGTTAACGTACAGAACAAACGAAAAACAAAATAAACGCCTTGTTCTCCTCTCCTCTCTCTCTCTCCCGCAGCCGTCTTTACGAAAAAAAGACCCCATTAGTCGACACGAGACGCCACGAGAGTGATTTTATTAACGGGAGGTTTGCCGAATGATGCAAGCGCTGAGAGAAGGAACGAGAGGGAAAAGGATATCGAGCGACTCTTTTCTCCAACGTCTCTCTCCCTCGTCACGCTACTACTTCACTGCTGATTCTATTTGGCCCTTACACACATGTTTCGCTAGCAAATGTTTTCCCTTGTTGCTGCTCGCTAATTCTCGATAAAAAGACAAAAACCAACAAACAGAATCAAGTAAACATGAAAGTCCAGGAGTGTCCCGCCCCTCATTAATCCATCCTATTATTTGCATTTTTGACTTAAACTTTCAAACATACTTAACTAAAAGTTAAGTCTAAGTTTAATTGTATTATATGAACTTTCTTTGTTTTTTTCTTTTATTGCGCATTACCATTAGAGTACATACTTACATTAGCATTTTGATGTACTGTTCATTAGCGTTCAAAATTCATAATTAATAATCTTCCAAGTTACAGTAAGCATTTGGCATTTCTGATTAACCATTTGTATCTTAAATCTTTTTATATTCGATTATAATATATAATTAATTATAGCAAGTTTTTCTGTTTTTCATTGTCAAATCTAATCAAGACACGCCTCATATTATCAGTATAAAGTCATTCTTTTTTCTTTTTAATTAATTTACGTGAAAGATATATTCATAAGAAAATTAAAAATGCAGAATAATTGCATTAACATTACAATTCCGTTTATCCACTCATATAAAATAAAACTTATTTCTATGGTAAAAAGCTCCTCCGTACATTCCGTTTATCACTAATCAGCAACAATACATTGTATACCAAAATCCCTAATCCAAATCCCTTTTCAATAACCATTTCCGCTCTATCTTATACAGCTGTGACCATATAGTGGCTCGCTCGTTGGATGTATTGTCTCGTTCGTTGTCGATGTTTTTATATATATATATAAATATCACCTTTGTAAATATCTATCTTTTATTCTAATTATAACGTGGTTTTTATTATTATTATTATTATTATTGTTTTATATACTACCTCAACTGTACCTAGAATCGTGACTGTTTTTATCTCTACAATTTTAATATCCCCTATCGAGTATAATGATATCCTATTACAAATGCCCACACACACGCAAACGAACATGCACATATAAACATACACAAACACGCGCGCGCCGCGTGCACAGTCACTCACTCACACTCGCGCACACACACACACACACACACACAGAGAGAGAGAGAGAGAGAGAGAGAGAGAGAGAGAGAGAGAGAGAGAGAGAGAGAGAGAGAGAGAGAGAGAGAGAGAGAGAGAGAGAGAGAGAGAGAGAGAGAGAGAGAGAGAGAGAGAGAGAGAGAGAGACAGACAGACAGAAGGACATATTTCACACATTTACTGTCGTAGTCGCATCTTATTACATATATTCACATCATATACATAAGTATACTGGCCTTATATCGACGTAAAAAATTAATCAAAACGCATAGTTGTAATAGCATTATCTACATTTAGTTCAATTTCTTTTTATTCATTTTTATTTATTTACTATTATGTTTGTTGTTATTATTATTATTATTATTATTATTATTATTATTATTATTATTATTAATCTATAATATGAAAATCCAGTGCAGATATTTCTAAAAAGCTCTCGCTTGATCTAACAAAATTATCTTAGGCATACGATAAATAAAATAATGAAAATTAAAAATGACCATGTCATTATCAATTGAACTTAAGTAAAAAATTATTAATTATTAAAAAAAAATTTTTAAAAAGCAGAAACCTAATCAGACCTCTACAAATTTAGCGAGATCACAAAGAATTGAAAAAACCGTTAACAAAGAAAGAGTCGAAAAATATTTAAACTTGATTCTCTTCTTTTCGATAATTAAAACTTCGATTTAAACATGTTTATTTATTATAAACTCATTAAAAGAGTCTAGTGCTATCTGAATGTAATTACTACTAAACGCATCTATTTAGATTCAATTTAGATTCAATATATCTGTCATTCTTTCCATGTTACACGGATGGAAAAACCGTTGAGGCGAACGCATTAAAAATATTCAATCGTCCTCATGGTTTTTCAATAAAAACTCATATATTAGAAATAACTGCAGTGCAGTAACAATTTTGATAAGCATTGTTGTGACTTATTAACTTGCGTGTGATAACCCCAAGAACTATCTCCTTTCAGCACTGCCCAAGTTCTCACTGCTATCATATTATACAATTGCCAGTATTGAATTCAATACATTTTTATTGCTACGATTTTATTATTAGAATCAGCTGTCTAATTAAATGAGCGTTAATATTTCTATAATACATACAGTATATATTTATTTCGACTCGTATTATGCAATTGAGTCAGAGAAACAATGTAACTTAAAAATTACTTTAAATATTGTAAAAAAAATTTATAATAAATTAGTATAGTTGTGAAAATACATGAAAAATATTGATCGATTCATATGAAGCAGCGTGAACTTGGTATATTTAGTAATAAGTCGCTTATCATTCCGCTCGGTACACGCGTCCTCACACTTATTCACATTATTATTTTTCTCCAGGTTATGGCTTAGGCCGTAGGTTGTCATTGATTGATTGACTGCTTGAATATTCATAATTGTTCGTGCAATACTTACTATAATTTAAGTTAATTATCACTCCCCTGATACTGTTACAATTCCCTTTTATTGCCTAAAACCTAATTTCGTCTTTTATTTTCTTTTTTTACAATTTATATATTTATATTTGAAATTATTACTGCTGCCATTATTCTTGTCTTTCCAAACATATACGCAGTCCCATATGGTGTTAGATGTACTTATTTGACTTACTCGTATGTAAATATACGTGTATACACATATAAACATGCACACGCACATAAATACACGCGCGCACACGCACACACACACACACATATGTATATATATATGTATATATACGTATATATACGCATATGTGTGTATGTATTATGCGAGAATTTGCGTGTGTATAAATACATGCATATATGTATGTGCATGTGTATGTATCTATACAAGTGTTTCAATCTCGTGCACATGTCACGCATAAAGCGTGCCTATGTACGATAATGTGTCCTCACAAGTTTCCTTTGGTTTCTTCAATTTTTTATTTTCCATTTATTTTCAACCCTCCTTCATAACCTCATAGGATGGTGGATGCTATGGTGTAACCGTATAACTTTGTCGTTCTCGGTGTTAGCCGCCAATTATTATTATTTTTGTTCTTCTTCATTCCCTTTAGTTTTACGTCTCTTTGTTTCGTAATTTTTTTACTCACTATTTTGATATATTTATCATTAAACGCTGTACTTGAATAGCAGCGGGACGATGGTCTTGACTAATAGCCCGTTCTTTTTTCTCTTTTTTTCTCTCTCTCTATCCCGTCGCCACGTAAACGCACGTACGGGAGCAGACAGAAAGCTGTTCGTGGGAATGCTCAGCAAGCAACAAACTGAAGACGATGTACGTCAGTTATTCAATGCTTTTGGCACAATAGAAGAGTGCACCATTCTTCGAGGTCCCGACGGAACTAGCAGAGGTAAGTTTTTCAACGTTATTTTTTCTAGAATTTTTGATTTATGTCAGAAACATTTGTCAATATTATAGTTAGCGACTGAATTAATAATTAACTTACAAATAAATTTACACTAGATATTAGAATTGGAATATTTTGAATATTTTGTACCAAACATTGCTTTATTATAATAAGTGAACTGATTATATTATAGCAATAAAACTTCAAATTTGTAAACATAGATTCTGAGTATGCTTTTAAATTATAATTTTTAAGTCATTCAAAAATTTATGTGACTCAATAGATGGTATTGAGTTTTATTAAATTATTATATATTAATAAATTTTAAACACACTATGTTGTGAAAGATATTTTTCAGATATCATGCAAAATCTTATCATGAGTAAAAACAAATTTAGTATAATTATACTATTCCTTATGTAATAATTGACTGCAAACTAACGCGGTTTTAAATCCTTTTGCAATTACTTATTAATATACATTGTACAATTTGTCATTGATATTTCAAATGAGCACGGCTACGGCTGTATTAGTAAATTAAATCGAAGGAAACACTGATGACTCTATAACGATTCAATTATTATTGACACTATTAATGATTGACACACACACTTACTGTTGAGATATATGAAGTTTCATGTAGATACTGAACCTTAATCAATTATTAACGAAATTTATTATTAAACCACTGTTATTATTATATATTATTTACTAGTATAAAGTAGTCCGCAGGGAAAAGCACGAAATATGACGATGCGTGGCAGAAAACCTATTTACGTACTTCGTAACTTGTAGCTTTAGTATATAAAAAGACAAATTTATTTACCTCCTGTAGTTACGTAAAGTAATAATTATTATGAGTTGAGAATATATAGTAGCCTACTAGCTCTCAAATATTTCATATATCAATCAGACATAATAATATCGTTGTAAATAATAATATTAATAATAATAATAACAACAAAAACAACACTTATACAATTTCTATGAATTTATAAATAACAAATCGGTGTAATGGAAAACAATTAAGTATAAAATTAATACTCAACAAACTAATAAAGTACGAGAGATTCGACGAGACGACGAGGAAAACGTACGAATACGAAAGGGAACGTTTTTTATTCAATTTGTTGTTAGGTATGTTTGAATTTGTTAGGGCGGCTGGACAAAAATGTAATCTATTTGATATGATAACAAATATTTTATTATAAGATGTTACTTTACTTTAAATGTAACGTTCAGTTGGGACCTTTAATTAATGCATTAATTTATGTTAAATGTCATGTAAGAGAAATCTGGTTATTAATTAGTAATATTTAAAAACAATAAAGGTATCATAATGGTCCAATTTTAATATGTACTCGTTTCTTATCTTGAAATGTCAATAATAAATTTTCAACTTACTATGCTGTAATATTTTTTAAGTAAAATTTGAACGATAATAATAAGAATAAAATCTTTACAAAATATATTATTAAAATAGAAAATATGTTGTCTTGAATTCACTATTAATATGACAGATGTAAAATATGATGGAATTGAAAAAAATATGTAAAAAAGCATAGCAGGTAAACATGTCGAGAGAATGTTAAAATTGAAATTTGAGACATTTTTAGTAATAACGTGAAAAAGAAATTAACGTTACGTACTGATACTCGCCGCAAGGCGTCTAACAGTGCAATATTTTCACCCGTACGATGGAGAATTCAAATATTTTTATTCGGAAATGAAGTAAAATCGCCATAGCTCAACTTAATAAAAAAAAAATTACACGAAAGGTGTATTTACCTCAATGTATCGAACAAATTTTTTGAGTATATTCGTGAAAATATGCAGTCGAAAGAAGCACATACCTAAGTCTGCTTTTTTATAACAAATTTTTGATAACACGCGCTTATATTTGAAGTATTTAATATTATAATATTACTTTATCATAAAATCATTTAGATAATACTTATTTCATATAAATATTTATTTATAAATATGGACACCCTAGTGACATATATGACATAATGTGATATAAACGATAAGTTTAAATGCTAATATGCTTAAAATATCGTAAAATATCAATCGCAAATTTTAAATACATGTTGCAAATATGTATAATTATATAAAAAAAAATTTGTTTGAATTAAATTTTTGTTTGAAAACAACGCGAATGGAACAACCGAAACAACTGAACAACTGAAATGAAAAATTAAAAATCAGATAAAATTGTGTACAATCATGTCTATGTATTAAACGTTGTGTCTGGCTGCAAGCAACCAAAATATTTGTATATAAAAAATATACTTTGAATGCATGAATCTGAAGGCTCGTTTTCGTGGTAAACGGTCTTGTATATCTGGCACCTCACCTATCCGCGTAAAATCCATTTTTTAATTAAAACAGAAATAATGCGCCTTCGACGAAATTGCTCTTAATACATTACTAGCGAGTGCCTCCCGATATCTCAAGATCTTGATTTTCTTGGCTTCTAATTGTGAATGGATTTTCAGCCTCTGTGAAAATCCAATCGTGTGATCCTAAAAAATCTATTTAATCATCGCTCTAGGATGAAACGCAAATGTCTCGACTACTCTGTTTAATTCATTTTTCCGAGAGAGCAAAGTTTTTTACGAAGACGTGTGGAAATGTTTCTCCTATTACTACTAATGATATTACATATCGTATGTATGAACATAATTTATTTCGTATCCTACAATAAAAGGAAAAACTCTGTTCTACACAATTTCGTACAGCATATTATAAAAAAATATTAAAATAATAATAACAGTAATACTAAATATGATGAAAATAATAATAATAATATTAATAATGATGATTATGATGATCATAGTAACGATGATAATAATAACGACAATACAAAAGTCCTTTTATTGTTCATATTATTCAAGCAAATCAGGTATAATATTTTATAAGTTTTCATATAGGCTCCGCAAAGGCATTTGGAAGCACTAAAGAATTTAAAAAGAATTTGTTATGATTGTAATGATTGTAATGAAAGAAATTCAGGACAGACAATCCATCATACGAATGTAATATTCAACGTCGGTTTGATCGTGAAAATCTAGAATTTGCACGGAAATACCATAAATGACAGACGAAGTAGGACTCTTAAGCGTCGCCCATAATCTTTTATGCACGGCCCAATTGATTAGCTCTTCCATTAAAAAATCGCTTTAAACATCAATCGCTTCGTTTCGGTCATCCAACCTACGCAACATCAACGTTATATAGTACAGAGAGGCCGGCGACCATTGGAACGGCCTCTTCAGAGCAGGCGCACCGAGCCTCCGCGGGCGTGTCCTCGTTCTCTCTTTGGCCTGGCTTTGAGCCAAGAGAGCGCCTACTCTGCCACCTCCACTCTGCCCCCGCTATCTCCATTCGCGAGTACTTCGACCAAAGAGACGCAACGTTGCGGGCGCGCCAATTTTTGGCGGTCAGCGGCCCAACGATTTTCCAGCCCCGGATTTGCTAAATCGAGCCGAAGCCGCGTTGTCGAGCGGACAAAACCACCGGTTTTTCTCTCCCCCGCTTTAAGACACTTTGTGGGACTTGACTAGCAGCAGACTGCATTGGAGAACTTTGGTACTGACTTTGGCAGCCGATGATGTCTAAAGGTATTATGGATAACGATAGGTTTTTAACTAACGATTAAGCATTCCAGATCCGTTTGCCTCAAAATTACTTTTCGATAATAGTACGTTCGACAACTACGTACTTAGCCCCTATCTTCACTATGCACACATCGCAGTTTATCGTTCGTCTCGTCTCTCGACTGTTATGGTTTTATATGCCAATAAATGTATTAATGAATTGTTCTTTCTAAGATGCGTAATATAAGTGCAAGCAATATGGCTGTCGATGATACGAAACGAGACTTACGGACCAACGATTCGAGCTGCTTCATTTTCAACGCATGTAGCTCCTTTGAGATCTTCGCGAACTTGCTTGCAAGTTTCCGAACGACGAAGGCGCGCGTAGATTATCAACGGGTATACGCCCCTCCCCGCCAACTGCAAAAAATAAGGTAAAAGACCCACGGCTCCGTGGGCCACAGTAGCTTTATTAAAAAGATGGCCTACGAGCTGATTGAGCGTCGAATCGCGTCACGATTTCTCCTATAAATTTACCAACCGATGGACTTTAATCTCAGTACTTACGTATAACATAGACCAAAATAATATCTGCGCGAAGGGAATGAGGAATATAAACCTTCGACGCTGATCTCTCCATTACGTGGCGGATTAGCTTGTTATGAAACTTCGTAACTACTCGTCCTGTATACGTACGCATGAGAATTCATGATAGAACGTATGTACTGTGCTTGAGTTCTAATGCCCAATTCGAAATTTTGATTACTATATCTAAATTGTTATAATGTATCTCTCAACTTTACTCTTTCGGTGCTAAATAGCCAAAATGTTCTTTCTCTTGATTTTATAAAAATCAGAATAATAATAATCGCCTCATTTCGAGATAATCAACGTAATTCATGGCTATTTCACGTGTCAATTCTCATTTCAATCATTATAAACCATTGTATTAGCTATCATAAGCACTCGCGTGTATATACAGATAACAGATAAAAGACAACACTTTCGTTGATATATATTTAATGAAAAGAGAGTAGGGAATATAAAAAATGAAAGAGAAAGGTACAAAAAACTTTATTTACAAATAATATGTGATTGAAGAAGTTTTATCTTCATTATTTGCGAAATTTGCTATTTCTACGCTAATAGGTGAAGCCAATAATATAGACTAAATTGCAATACAAATATAAAACAGCCGCAATTCGATATTCTACAACATTACACAAACATAGTCCTGCAGTATTTACTATTAGCCTAAAAAAATTTCCCTCGCATATATTAAATAATAATTTTATACTGAAAATTTATCTCCCATCGACACAATAAATACATCAGATCAAAAAACAAAAGCGAGTACTCAGACGAACAAAATATTCAGCTATCTTCTATTATTTTACAAATAAA